TGACCAGTTGCAAGGTCAAGTTACAGATGAAGTACCACCTACCAATCCAGGAGACTGTACACCAGCAAGACTGGTTTTTAGGAATCAGTCAATCAGCTGTTTTGCTAGACCTGTCAGATCCTCCAGCTGCTGAAGTGACTTGCAGAGAGCCAAAAGAGCCTGCTGCCAGGGCTGTGGGGCCAGGAGAAAGACAGTAAACCAAAGTTTATATGGCTTGGTGAAATGTTCTGGAAGAGAATATATTCCAGACCTGTGTCCTAGTCTAGACCCTTGCTCCTAGCTGAGCAGGAACTGATTGCCACTCACTTTTTAATCTAATGACTATTACATGTGAAAGAAGCATCAGAGAAGAGTTGAGCTAATGTCAAAGCAGGTGCTGGGGAGTCGGAGGGATTTAGGCTAAAACCTCATTACTTGGCTAAAACATGGGAGGGTCTTCCACCCCCATCACTTTTTCCAGAACTTGTGCATGTATGTAATTATGTACATCTAAAAATTTACAAGCCAAAGCAAAAATGGGTGCCAAAAGTGGCCAGGTATATGTGCAAAGGGAATAGAATTCCCTTAAGGAATTTCTATGGTTTCTACCCTTAAAAAGCACTGGAGAAGGTGGGACAACTTTGCAAAATGAGTCACGAGACCTCCCCTCCATCTCTGAGCCCAGCCCTATGTGCATGAGGCCAAGGTTTTATTAGTGTTTTAGGGTAGGTAAAATTCCTGGTGCAACAGGTTCTCCATGCAGGTAGTAGTGGATGGTTCCCCTCAGAAATAAGCACTTGTAAATACTGATACTCTCCCTCTGCCATGAAGTCCACTGTATACTTGTCTGCTCTTCCCTTTGGGCTTCAGCAGAGAGAGCGAGTGAGAGCAAGAGCCTGTTCTACCGTGGAGATGGGCTGGTAGTTGAAGGCCATGGCCCTAGCCTGCAGTCCAAATGACTCCTCAGAGCTTATTGCTCAAGGAGGTATTGGACACCCCTCTGAGCAGGGTAGCTGGCTGGAGCACAGCCTCGGAATCTTGTTCAACTTTGCCCAAGACATAAGTTCAACACGTGACAGACCATGCGTGTCCTAAGCCAGTGGTGCTCAACTGTTTGGCCCTGCCCTACTCATCAGGCCCACAGGGCCAGTCTGTGGGCTGGATCAAGGACTAAACACCAGGATTGGGCCCTGGGCCTCAGCACTGTCTCCTCACACTGAGATTGATCCCCAGGGGCCTGGCATTGTTTTCTGAACCCACCCCAAAGTCTTGTTTTTCCAGTTTCTCCCATACCAACCTGAGTGCACCCCCTGTATGGAGGGTGGTAGTCTTCCCACACATTAGGTGGAGGTGACTGGCTTGGCCCCATCTTTGTTCTTGGTGGCATCTTCAGAGCAAGGGCGCCTGCCCTCCCCTTTTTCGGTAATAAGGACCACCTGGTACCTAAGCACCAGTAAGTAGCAATGTTCTCTGGTCAGTGAAGCCTCACCCATTATGAGCAAGGAAACCCTGAGCACAAGTGAGCTCTCCTGCGTGGAGGAGCCTTTAGGGGTTTGTACATAGAGGGCTACAGCTGTAACAGACCACAGCCTATGAAGTGGGTTTCAGGGGATACATTGGGGAGGGGGAAGATTATTTCTTCCAAGAGTCCTAGCTTTCTGTGAATCGAATCCATTACTGGTATGACCTCTCATTCCTTTACATTTTATCTGCGGGGAGGGTTGTAACCATTCATGGAACGAACCCAGCATTTACCAGTGCCCTCTTTGCACCCTCCTCTCCTGATTCCCTCTCCCTTTTATCACTGTGCTAATAGGAAGTCAGGCAGCTAGTTACCTACCAGCCCATACACTCCCAACTCCTCAAGCCTGACTGACACAAACCCCACTACTTACCATGCCACACTGCCCATCCCCACCCATATTCAGGACTTAGCTCCTACCTTTCCTGTGACCCACTTATGCTGACCCCACATTACCCTACATAAACTTCTTAACCATTTATACTGAACACCACTAAAATGCTCTTCCTGTCCCATTCCTATGTGCTAAGTATCATTCACTTGTGTGGTGTCTCAGCTCCTCAATTTGATAAGTTGGTACTCTAGCACATGCAAGAGGTCAACAAGTTCCTCTGCCCCTCACCTCCATTAGCACTTTTACACATGCTCTGGTGGTGGGGAGGGGCAGCACTTTAATTAATTATAGTGGCTCTCAAAGCCACCCTAATTAAAGCCCTGCAGCATCTCATGCATTAGCTTCCCCACACTTCAAAATGGCAGTGTGGTGCTTGAGCTAAAGCTCACTAGATGAGCTCATTATATGAGCTTTAGTTTAAGCGCTCCTGCCACCATTTTGCAGTTGGGGATGCTGATACATGAGATGTGGGAGGCTGCTGGAGCACAGTAATTACCACACTCCAGCAGACTTAATCGAGTCTGTTCCAACGTGCTGTAATTACAGCACATCATAGCAGCCTCTACATTTGTGAACAGGCACCCCGTGATACCAGAGGATGAGATGGTTTAACAAGCAGCAAAGTGCCTGAGCACCACTTCATTGAGGACTGTAAACTATTTGTGTGTCTCAAAACAAAAGCTACCTACAAATTACATCTGCCCATGTGTCTGTGTCTCGCTTGGATGCACAGGGCTAATCCAAAGCCCAGGTGGGTCACTGGGAGTCCTTTCATAGGCCATAGATAGATGTGTATTTGTAGTGCTACAAAAAATGTAGCACTATTAGGGCTGTCTTCACATCCTGAGCTCCTGGCTGGAGTGCTGCAGAGTTGCTACAAAAGAGTACTCTTGAGCCAGGGGGTTGTGCTCTGCTCCCCTGGGTACCAAGTGGCTCAGGGAGCCTGAGGAAGGGGGAAACCATTGAGCAGGCTGAGACTGGCAGCCAGCCAATCCTGCCTCTGGGGGAGAGCTGGACTAGATGACCTCTGGACCCTTCCAGCCCTAGTTTTTTTTGTGATTCAATGATGGTGAAGGGCACACTGCCACGGTGGAAACTAGTGTTCCCTCTAAGCTGCGTGGTATGCATGGCTGCGCATGCCACGCAGCTTAGAGGGAACATTGGTGGCAACACTGGTCTTTGCTATCACTGGGGCAGCAGTGGGCCCTGTGGGGGGGGGGGGGGGGGGGGGGGCAAGCACAGCTGCAGTTCTTGGCTAAGGGGCAGCACAATGTCAGCCCCACAGCAGACTCTGCACCCCTCCCTTCCCCTCTGCTGAGCACTCTGACTGTTGATTAATTGTCCCCCACTCTTTAGCCCTCCCTTCTTGGAAGTGGGGGGGGAGCAGAGCACCGTGGGATAAAGGGGGCCTGAGAAATCTCTTGTAGTACAGTGTGCACACACTACTGAGGTGCTACATTTTGTAGCACCACATGTAATTTCATCTCCAAACATTTTTGTGGCACTACAGGGGGCATGTACATTGGTACCTTTGACTCCTGTAGTGTTACAGAGATTTGTAGTGCTACAAATGTAACGTCTGTCTATGGCCACAGACTACATTGGGTAACACTTCATGTGCTGTAGTGATAACAAAATGATGTGCAAAGCACTAGCGACTGTACAACTTTGTTTTATTTTGTGTGCTTTTATAGGATATAAATAAATGACAAAATTACAAAATTTATAACTGGAAGCCCAAGCATATTTACATAAGTATTTGTTGCAGTGAGGCTACTATTTACTGTTCTTCTATACAATTTTCCTTTTGGTACCATATTTTTAGTGAAGGTTTTCTTTTCCTTTTAATGTCAGTTTACTACATACATATCAACAGTGAATAGGCAAAATATGTACAAGAAACTATTTTGTTCAAGTAAATTGAATACCGTATTAAAAGTTTTCATTACTCCAAGCTATAATTCGGTTTAACTAACCCATATACAGTTATCAATTTTAAACCAAGTTCAGTTTTCCATTTTTGGAATTCACCAATTGATTATTGTAGCTGAAAACCTCAGTCAGATATGAAATAATAATAATAAAAAAAACATTAAGACAACCACGCAATTTATCAATATCTCTATAATGAACTCCAAAATGATTCACAATTTGACTGGATAGAACAATATACATTAAAATGTCATTTTTTTTCCTATAATGATATTTGTACTGTTATAATTCAGTTCTACATAAATATACATCATGGTATTATACAAATACTCCACAGACATTAAAAAAATTAAAACACTTTAAAGAAAATGTAAGTAAATTTCATTAATCAAAGGTCAAACAAATGCTTAACCTTTTTTTTGTTTCATGAAAACATTATTATTATTACTTTGGAATTTTTTTCTTTTTCTTTATTTTTTTCTTTAGAAAATGTTAGTACTTTATCAACACTTCTTTCAAACAAGCTTTCTGTGACAGAAACCTTGAAAGCAAAAGCGTTAGTTTTGAATATGTTCTTTAGAACCACTGAGATTTTTAAAAATACTAGTAGAATTCATGGCTATAGCAATGTTAAACTTTGTAAACTGTATGTACGTGTAGTGCAATGACTAGTCTGCTTCCAATTCTGCTCCCATCAGATGAAGCATCCAGTGCATTGATGCCACAACTCCTTAGCATTTTGCTAATGGTACAATAGCAATGGTTTAGTTAACTTTAAAATAAATAATCTTTCATAATTAATCTGACTTCCTCTCTCATAAATATTACTATGTTCTTCTATAGCATTCCTCTTCCATAAAAATATGTAATACAAGACATGTTTTTTGTGCATTAATAAATCCTCTGTTTAACCATTCATAAAATTCTGATCCTTTTATCAGACCGTGATAGGCTCTTATTTTTGTAGAGGACCAAAGGACACTAATGATTACATATAAAACCAGCACACACAGAAATCAGGGTACCTAATTTATTGTCATCTTTGACTTTTAGCCAATAAAGAGTAATTCTTTAGGAATCCAGTGGTTTCACAAATACTATAGTTAATCATTCTGGTTTCTATTTCAATTAAAAACTGCCAAGATTTAAATAAAAAACCAATCAAATGTCATACTCATTGGCAGCATTAATGTTAGTTTAGAGACCTCTTTAAAAAGTAGAATCCTAAAATAAGAAATCAAAGAAAGCACTGTGGCAAAGTCACAAGAGAGAACTGCATGAAAAATAGTATTTTTCTCTCTCCTCTTGTGGACTGTAATGTAAAAGTCTTCAAATAGTGTCATTCTTCTGTCAGTGCTGCAGGAAGAACATCACCAGAAATGACTATCAGCCTTTTTTTTTTTCGTTAGTTACAAGGCCACTCTTACAGTGCAGTCTTCCTCTCTGCTGGACTGAAACGTTGCCGTAAAGGAAAGGCTGTGCTGTGACTGCTTGGAGTGCAAGGCACAACAAGGAACAGAGGACAGTTTTGTATCAGAAAATTGTAGTTTCATACTTGGTATTAATGCCTCTTTTGGCTTCTTGTCCAGGTTCTACAATCCATGGTAGATTGGCAAGAGTCTTTTGTTCAGATGGATCTATCTGCTTTAAAACAAACACACACATTGACCCAGATTAGCACTTCTGGACCCAATCCCTCAAAAGGCTCTAGAATAAATCTGGTGTTTTTACAATAAAAGGTGCAGTGAAAGGTACAGGATATTGTATAGGATCAGAGCTTGCTTAAAACGACGTTTCAGTAAAGGTTGTATCCTGAGAAGTGCTTTAACCTTTCTAATACTGAGCCAGATGACTGCATCAGTAACTAGAAAGCTTTTTTCTTCTTAAACCTTTATGTATAAATGAATTTCCATAATCTTTTTAAAAAGCATTCACTCACACACAACAAAACAACAGCTCTTTGTCATTTATGTACTTCAGAAGGGAATTTTAAATTCAACAATGTGTTGGCTCAGGGAACCTGTTTGGGATTATGGAGACAATATTGGAAAGACCGGATCTTAGAGCAGGAGAGCTTTGGAGCAGGGGTGCCTGTTGAGAGTCATAAGAAAGGAGGATAGGAGAAGGAGTTGTTTCAGACAGGAGGACAATAGGTAAAAGAGGCAGACTGCTGAGAGTTAAGTAAAATCTTTAGGGTTCAAACTTTGGATGCCTGATTGAACCAAACTTCTCGACTTGAGTTTCACATACAGTCTAACACAGAGGTTGGCAATGTTTTCCAGTGGAGGGCTGGAATGACCCAGTTAGGGTCAGAGGCAGCCAGGCACTAGGACCCAGCTGTCTCTGCCACTTCTCCCCACTGAGAGTTGAGAACCGGCAGAGGTGTGGTGAAGCCATGGGTGCTCAAGTGCTGCATGGGCAGAGCCCTCTGCTGAATGCTACTGAAGCCACAGCTCTGCGGGTCAGATCTGGCTCATGGGATACAAGTTGCCAATCCCTGGTCTAACACGTCAGTTAAGGGTTTTATGGTATTATTGCTTTAATAGTTTATCTTCTGGGAACTGGTTTTGAGTCGATCACTAAAGGTAGCAGTATTAATACTAAGGTTTCATAATGGGATCTAAATGAAACAAAGAGATTTTAGAAAGTAATACATTAAGTCAACCTTTGAGCTCTTTTACACAGTAGGAGTAAAGAGGCACTGATTTTTGGCCACTGCATTTAAAACTGCTACAATATATAGAAGCAAAGATGAATCAAGTCAAACACTAGCATAGCAGCATCAGACATACTTGGCTAGTACTACACATATGACTTCTTGAACTTCAGGAGTCTGGTATTATGGAGTGTTTCTAAGGCCAATTCTGCACAGATCCACTTGGAGGTGATCTGTACACACAGCATAGCTCAAACTGGGGGCCTTTGTGGATAAATACATAAATCATCAAAAGGTGCATGCCCACATTTTCTGCTGTAAAACTGTATTTTGGTTTTGTGCGCACCACCTGTTGTTTTTGGTTGGGGTTTTGGGGG